AAACGAATATACATGAAATGTCACGTACGGTCTTTCCGAATCAAAATACTAGAAATGGCATTTTATGTACTGTATGCTACGTAGTGTAAGAGCCTACAGGAGCCACTGGCAAGACACGCAAGCACAGACCACCTCCCCCCAGGAGGTGTGGAGATAGCGTCCATGTGCTAATACGACCTCGGCCGCCCCTCGACGCAAAGCAGCAACACCCTGCGCCCTAAACCCTAAACCCTTAACTCCTAAACCCTAAACCCTAAACCCTGAACCCTAAACCCTAAACCCTGAACCCTGAACCCTGAACCCTGCTAGCCATACCGTGTTGCAGGCGAGGATGGCCAGCTCCCACGCTGGGGCCTCGATCCGGGTGTGTTCGCTGAGCCCAAAATGTGGTCCGACTAAGGTTTCAGGTAGGGTTTAGGGTTTAGGGGTTAGGGGTTAGGGGTTAGGGGTTGGGGGTTGGGGGTTGGGGGTTGGGGGTTGGGGGTTTGGGGATTCTAATTAAGCGTTTCGGTTTTCAATGAAGGTTTTGACACGGATGTTAACAATCCACAACCTTTCTAAGGCCTAAAGCTAATTCCCCAAAACCCTATGAACCCCATGAACCCCATGAACTTAAACCCTACACCCTGAACCCTGAACCCTAAACCCTAAACCCTAAACCCTAAACCCTAAACCCTAAACCCTAAACCCTAAACCCTAAACCCTAAACCCTAAACCCTAAACCCTAAACCCTAAACCCTAAACCCTAAACCCTAAACCCTAGACCGACCCTTCCTGGAAGCCTCAGGGCCTGACTCGCCGTGCAGCACACCGCGGGTGCGCCTAGGGTTTAGGGTTTCGGGTTTAGGGTTTTGGGGTTTCGGGCTTAGGGTTTTGGGTTTTGGGGTTTAGGGTTTAGGGTTTAGGGTTGAGGGTGGTCTGTCAGCTGAGTTTGGAGTTTTAGGGTACCGTGGCCCTCAGCCCTAAAACCCAGAAGTGTTGTACTCAAATTATGCTCTAGTCGAGCAAGAAAAGTGGTCACTTTTGTTGGGGCAGTACGATTTCTATGCAATCCCAAGCAGAACCTTTCGTGCCTGTAGGAGTCTGGGCCAGTCGCCTAGACCCCTCACCCTAGAAAGGGCCAGACGTAGCTTCTTCCCCTTGCATACTCGTGCTTGAGGAGGGCATCGGGGGCTTGAGTGTGTTTAGGGCAGTTTTTTGGTTGAGGGTGTAGGGTTTAGGGAGTAGTTTCTTTTTTGTTCCGGTGATGTTTCGGGGGGTTGCGGTTCGGGGCTTGCGGGGCTTGTTTTGCTTGAGGCTTCTAGGCATCAGAAGCCCTAAAGGGCTCAGGGAAATCTAAGGGAAGTCACGTTACATGGTCCCTTAACAACATGGTCCCTTAAACTTCTTGGCCCCAGTAACACCCTTAAGAGCGAGGGGCCTACTTGGAGTCTCAGTAGCTATGAGTTATAGGTGGGGTTACAAGCGGGATAACTGTAGTTATAAGTGGTTATAACCTTATTTAGGGTACTTATCACCCTACTTATGACCTGCACTCTAAACCCAAAACCCTACACCCTACTTATGGCTACCCATGAACCTTCAAGTAGGGCTGTGGGCAGGCAGATGAATCAGGCCACGCAGACCACGAGGCGGATGAGGGTTGAAGGGGATCCTGGCAAACCCTAAACCCTGGGGCTGAGGGCTAAGGGCTTGGGGCTAGGGGCTCAGGGCTTAGAACGGCTTTCGGGTAACTGCCTGCACACCTCGGCAATCTCGAGCTTGTGCACGCAAGCGCTCCTTGACGCAACCCTGGAGTCTTGACAACCCCATCCCGTCCATGAGGCGCGGACTCCTACCCCAAAACCCCAAAGAGTCACCCTAAACCCTAAACCCCAAAACCCTAAACCCCAAACCCCAAAACCCTAACCCCAAAACCCCAAGACCCTAGAACCCCCAAAAGTCCAACAGGACATGGGGCCCTTTTCACCCGACACCTTCGTCGAATACCGGAGCCGATCCAGTGGGCAGTGGATTCTCGCAAAGGTGCCTCTGGGGCTTGGGATGCAGGATTAGGGTTTGGGGTTTAGGGTTTAGGGTTTAGGGTTTAGGGTTTAGGGTTTAGGGTTTAGGGTTATAGCATTGCTGTTGCAGATAGAATATTGGGGTACTACTAGTATTCCCTTCTGGTCCCTTTACAAGTGCACTATAATACCCCCCCCCCCTCCAGAAAAAAAACACTTATTCTCATTATTCAGGCCCCTGTATTAGTCAGTTCTCAAAATTCTGATCCCTTTTTTGGGTACCCTAAACCCTAAACCCTAAACCCCTAAATCCTAACCCTAAACCCCTAAGTATACGGGGCAGCCTTATAATGGCCCAAAAGGGACCAGAGTTCAGAGAAGTGACCATATGGGTCTTAGAACCTCGAAGTCCCCAGCATAAACCCTGTTAGGGTTTAGGGTTTAGGGTTTAGGGTTTAGGGTTTAGGGTTTAGGGTTTAGGGTTTAGGGTTTAGGGTTTAGGGTCTAGGGTCTAGGGTCTAGGGTTTAGGGTTTAGGGTTTAGGGTAGGGCTATACGGTTCAGGTTGCGTAGAGCTTGAGGCATCTTTGTCCGATCCTGGCATTCTCTTTTCGGATTGCCGTTCGAGGGCCTTGTCCACAACCCCTAAAGGCTTTTGTTATCATGCGTTCGAGGCTTCCAGCCTCCATGACGGTCAAGTAGACATGTCACTAGGGTTTAGGGTTTAGGGTTTGAAGCCCTCTAAACCAGGAAGCAGGACTCTGCGGCAATGTCTTGAGACATGTCAGGTCACACGAGGCTGCATTCTTTAAACACATCGAGCTTCCAATTCGGCTTTCTGTTTTAACGCGGCAAGCTGGTCGTGTGCTCACGATGCAGAAGCTCCTAAACCCTCAACCCTAAGCCCGAAGCCCTATGACTCAGGTGGAGAGCTACAATGCCGACACTCAGACCTACCGCCTGGATGTGCAGCCATACGCGCCCGCAGACAGGCTCCTCGAGGGGTAGGGTGTTAGGGTTTCGGGTTTCGGGTTTCGGGTTTAGGGTTTAGGATTTAGGCCTTTGGGTCGCAAGGTCCGTGCGGATGACCCTGAGCTCTTAACCTTAACGCCGTCTAAACCGAAACTAAATTATACAAACAAACTGATCACAACAAGACTCTGTAGTCATGGTTTAGGGTTTAGGGTTTAGGGTTTAGGGTTTGGGGTTTAGGGTTTAGGGCTACCACACCTCGGCCTCTATGTTTAGAGTGTCGGGGTTGAACCCATAATGTATACAGCTTAAGGTCCCTAAACCCTAAACCCTAAACCCTAAACCCTAAACCCTAAACCCTAAACCCTAAACCCTCAAGTGCTCCCATGTTGGCTGCATCCGCCAGGGTTCGCGCCCGCCGCCGCGCGCTGGCAAAGAAGCGCCCAGTCAGGAAGAGTCCCGAGACGTGGGTCTCTGGACTTATGCGGGCTTTAGGTTTCGATGCTTAGCGCTAATGTAGTTCCTTTTTGGGGTTATGTACTTCTAGGCGATCCTACTATACTAGCCCGCAAACCTGAACCCCCCAACTACCCTTGAATAAAGGGGGGTTTATGTACCCTACTATTATGGTTAAAGGGTAGTTGGGGGGGTGCTGGAAGGTACTGATTGAGCAAGAAGCCCTCCCGTTGAGGTTTCGGTGAACACCAGACCCAACCCTTGATGCGCAACCGCCCCCCTCCCCACCCCCCCAACTAGGGTTTAGGGTTTAGGGTTTAGGGCTTAGGGTTTAGGGTTTGGGGTTTAGGGTTTAGGGTTTAGGGTTAAGGGTTTAGGGCTAGGGTTTAGGGTTTAGGGTTTAGGGTTTAGGGTTGATGGTGATGGTGGTGGTGGCGGTAGCCCTAGTGTCGTTTCCTGTTTGTTGTCTGCTGCCCTCTCCCAGTTGTTTCACCTTCCCCGCCAGTCAACAACATACCCCTTCAAGGACCCCTAAACCCTAAGCCCTAAACCCTAAACCCTCAATAGTTTCCTCATTCCCCGAGTTCCTCCAGGTCGGAGGTGGCGAACGGCCACGGGCCTTTAGCTGCAGCCTTGGGGGTTTTGGGGGTTTACAGTTCAGGGTTTAGGGGTTGAGGGTTTAGGGGTTTAGGGGATATATGGTTTCAGAAGTTTGGGGATATTGGGCGCCTAGGATGCAAGGGCACGCGAGCCGTAAGCCGGAGGCCCTGAGAGTCGGTTTTGGCTTTGTGGCAGACGCAGGGACAGCGTAGGACGTTTAGAGTTGCGGAGTTGGGATCCACACGGTTCTGTAGTAGGTTAAGCTTTTTCCTCAAACTTGGAGCATTCAACTTGAACCTGCGAAGATCAAGGGCGAAGTCGAAGCTGTCCGACATCGGTTCTTAGGACCGGTGGTAGAATCATGATAGTAAGCTATATTTATGTCGAACATCCCCACCCTACAGATTTGGATGTTTTTTGGGGTTGGGCACTCCAGGGACACTGTGGGGTTCCAGGGACGACACCTCAGGATACTCTGGGGTGGGAGACCCAGGGTGAAGGAAGAGACCGGGCGAGGAGAAGAGCTTAGCTTAGCATCATCTAACAGCCTTTCACATCGAGGTTGGGGAACAAGCATGGGGAGATTCTAATAGTTCTAAGAATTGTAACCCTAAACCCTAAACCCTAAACCCCAAACCCTAAACCCAAAGCCCTAGTGGTAATAGTAGGTTTTAAGAGGTATCTGGGCAGTCGGGGGCGCCCCGCAATTTCTCCCAGGGAGTTAGATCCTGGGCAGTTATGCGAGAATCTGATCCAAACCCCTTAGTCCCACGGACAGACCTCGCCTCCTTCCCTGAAAGTCCTTGTCCCTCTAGCACAGCACTCCTCAGGTGCAGGGCAGTCCGGGAGATTCGCCCCCAATCCTTGAACCTCCACGAGGGGTAGATTTCAGAGGACCCCGCCTCCTTGACACTCAGGCTGAAGCCACTGTGCCCGAGCAGAAACCTGCAAACGAGCGTGTGCCGGCCCTAGCGGCCCTAAACCCTAAACCCTGAACCCCTACACCTAAACCCTAAACCCTAAACCCTAAACCCTAAACCCTAAACCCTAAACCCTAAACCCTAAACGGGATTTGGGATTTCGGGTTTTGGGTGTAGGTGACTAACATAGCGATGCATGGGTCTGGCAGACTCAAGGACGAAGACTCGATCCTGTAAGGATGTACCCCTAAGAGGTTCCCTTAGTTTACTCCCAATATGGCCCCCCCTAAACCCCAAATCCTAAACCCTAAGCCTTCAAGCCCTTAGGAATCTTCAAAAAGAGTCCCCCGAAGGCCAAGGGTTTTTTAGGGTTTAGGGTTTAGGGTTTAGGGTTTAGGGTTTAGGGTTTAGGGTTTAGGGTTTAGGGTTTAGGGTTTAGGGTTTCAGAACACGGCTTTGCAGGCCGCTGCCCTGAAGCCTAAAACGGCCACCCTTTTTGTTCCTAGGGTTGCTCTAGGGTCTAGATTACATTGACTCAAAACTCCTTAAGACATCCTAAACCCTAAGCCCTAAGCCCTAAACCCTAAACCCTAAACCCTAAACCCTAAATCCCAACTCGAGTCCTTAAACCCGGACCCTTACGAGCATTCGCGTGAACACCTTGAACGGCTCTCCACCCCATGACCTTTTTAGGGTTTCGGGTTGAGGGTTTAGGGTTGAGGGTTTAGGGTTGAGGGTTTAGGGTTTAGGGTTTAGGGTTTAGGGTTAACTCTGAAACACAATACAGCGCCCTCATGCACAATCCCTAAACACATAAACCTGAAAAGCCCTAAACCCCACAAACCCTAAACCCCAAACCCGAAATTCCGGTAAGTCCCCAAGCCCTAAATTCCATGAACCCTGAACCCCAAGCCTGAAATCCCATTAAGTCCCCAACCCTAAATCTCATAAGCCCTACTTGAAGGTTCATGGTACTTATTAACCAACTATAGCTGTACTCATGACTGTACTTTTTTTTACCAGATTAGGGCAAGGGGCTTGTAAGTCCTAAAGCATGAACCCTAAGCCCTAAACCCTAAGTACAGTTATAATTGGTTCATTTGTACCATGAACCTCCAAGTAGACCCTCCCTTGGGGTCGAGGACTCCACACCCTGTCGAGCATACGATCGGCGGGTGCAGGCCGAGCCCAGTGGTACCCTTTGCCCATTTTTGTTGGTTATGGCTATGGGTTCCCTTATAAAAGTAACCAACCCAAAAAAGGGTGCTCTTATGATGATATGGTTACTGGGCTAGTTGTTTTGGCCCTGGCTTGAGTTTAGGATTTAAGGTTTTTGGGGAGGGTTTTCAGGGGTTTGGGCTTTGAAGGCTTTTAGGGTTTAGGGTTTAGGGTTTAGGGTTTAGGGCTAGGGTTTAGGGTTTAGGGTTTAGGGTTGAGGGCGTTAGGCTTTGATTTGAGGCTTCAAGCTTCGAGATTTAGGTGCTCCGTCTATGAATTTGACTGCAGGATGCGCGGCAGGCATCCCACGTGCAGGGTTTAGGGTTTAGGGTTTAGGGTTTAGGGTTTAGGGTTTAGGGTTTAGGGTTTAGGGTATAGGGTATAGGGTTTAGGGTTTAGGGTTTAGGGTTTAGGGTTTAGGGCCCCGTCGAAAGGCGCAATGTCCATCGGAAATTCCAGTTGTTTGCCCTGGCGTGCTGTAGGTCTCTCATGACAAAAGATGCACAGCCACAAAGCACCCCCTTAATTCAGAAGCATAACGAACAAATCTAGCAAAGTGTGTAGTTACATTGTCGAACCAGAACTGTTACAGATAGAATGACTTTGTTTTATCATGATCAGCATTGTTCGGTAATCGTTAGCTTCCATGAATCAGTTTGCCGGACCAGGCCGAAACACCGAAAGAAAAACAGACCCTTGGCTGCAATGGTGCCGAAAGTTGAGGGTGTAGGGCCTAGGGTTTAGGATGTTCAAAGCCATCGGCATCTTCTGCGACTATTTCCGGTTCAGGCCTGCTTTGCACGGATACTGCGAACGTTGCAGCGCCAAGTGCTTTGCTGATTGAGGACCCCAAACGCGCTGAACTTGCAAGGTGTGGGGCGTAGGTTCTGTAACGACGCCTAGAGTAGCTTCGTACCTTACAAAAGATACCCATAGTCAAGGTACATTCCCCTTTTTAGGGTACACGGGTGACCACAAGTGACGTGCTCGACGCTGGAGCATATCTGCGTGTCCCTCAATAAAGGTTTCTTGTATTCGGTACATGATCGCGATTTTGGGGGTTCATTTTGGTCGCCGTTGGGGTTTAGATAATGGGCCGAGGCCATAAAAAATTTGGGCACACGAGCGCCAGAGATCAGGAGCCGACTTTTCCCTCCCAATACCCCCAAAATCATGTAAAGTCTGCAAGATTCAGGCTTTAGGGTTTAGGGTTTAGGGTTCAGGGTTCGGGGTTCAGGGTTTAGGGTTCAGGGTTCAGGGTTCAGGGTTCAGGGTTCAGGGTAACCTTGCATTCGCTTTAGGTCTGCGGCACCGCTGTGCGAGCCGGGCCCATTGGAGCTCTCACTGCAAGATGAGGCAGCACGGAAGTCGGGTCTACCTTAGCGTGTAGGCTATGGCTCACCGTAAATGGAAGACATGACTTCTAACTATTATTGCAATTATTGTTGTCATAGTAGCTATAACAGCTAGAAAGTTCATAATCGCTACAATCGCCATATATAGTCACATTGTTTGTGCAGCCAAAGGAAAATGGAGGATCGTGACTTAGTCACCACGCATCTTTTGCAGGATCTCCCTCCTGCAAGCCTACAAGATCGAACCAGCTCAGCAAGCCTTTCTCATTACAATAAACTGAATATGAACAATTAAAGAATACGTGTATATAAGCAGAAATACAATATAAATCTATATGTATACATATATATATATATGTTGACATTCTACCATTCCCCCCGCCCCTTGTGTCCCAGCCAGATCACCGCGATTGGACTGCTACCCTAAACCCTCACAGTAAACCCTATAAACCATATAAACCCGAAACCCTAAACCCTGCAAACCTTAAGCCCTCGCTACTGCAAGGGTCCGCTTCTTCGCCAAACGTGCAGTCTACCTAGCCAACCAACCCTAAACCCTAAACCCTAAATTTAAGAGCCTCCGGCTCAAGCCGCAGACCCCGCTGGAGCATAGTTGAAAGGTTTCAACGCGCTCGTCAGCTCAAAGGATCCAAAAGTTGATTTGCTTGAGCGTCTGTGAAAACAGGAGCTGAAGCCAGTTTGAAGGGCAGGGCAGCCCCATCAATTGTTGAACAGGCCAAGCCCAGCAACCAGGAGGGGGGGGGGGGGGGGGGTGGGGGGGGGGGGTGGGGGGGTGGGGGGGTGGGGGGGTGGGGGGGGGGGGGGGGGGGGGGGGGTAGGGGGGGGGGGGTAGGGGGGGGTAAGGAGGGAAAGAGGGAGGTTTTCACCTCCTTTTCCCATCCAACACGCCGCCAGGGTCGGCGGACCCTAAACCCTAAACCCTAAACCCTAAACCCTAAACCCTAAACCCTAAACCCTAAACCCTAAACCCTAAACCCTAAACCCTAAACCCTAAACCCTAAACCCTAAACCCTAAACCCTAAACCCTAAACCCTAAACCCTAAACCCTAAACCCTAAACCCTAAACCCTAAACCTACAGACAATGTCCTCGAGCCGCCGCTTCCCAGAGAGGGCGGGTTGGTTGGAGTCCATTCTTAAGGTTTAGGGTTTAGGGTTTAGGGTTTAGGGTTCTGTGGAAAAGGAAAAACCAAGCGCCGTGTTCATGACATTGGCTTCAGATCACGACGTGTGCTCTTTAAGTGCGCATTAATTCTCAGCACCACGTATCAGCATGTGTAAGCCCTAGACCCCAAGCCCAGCACACCCCAAGTTGCGAGAAGCGAATGTTGCTACCATGAACCCTAAACCCTAAACACCAAACCCTAAACCCTAAGCCCTGAAAGGTGGAGATGCTGCGCCGGCGCATTGCTGAGCTCGAGGACCAGAATCGGACGCTGCATTCGCAGGCTGTACGTTGTGGAGAGGCTTCGGGCTTCAGATCTAGGATTTATCATTCTGCATACATAACACACATGAACAGATACATACATATGAGATACATACATATGACACTAAATATAAATAAAGAAATAAATAAACAAATAAATGAATATATATATATATATATATGCACACACTGTTTCATATTTTTCGAGTACTAAAGTATGATATGTTGTCGTATCACATAGTATATCCCCAGACCCCTGGGAGGATCCGAAAAAGTACTCTTGGGTCATTCTTAGGAACCCTCTAAGGGGATCTACTTCTTGGATCCTCCCAGGGGTCTGGGCCACCTACCAGCATAACCCTAAACCCGAAACCCCAAACCCTAAACCCTAAACCCTAAACCCTAAAAGGTTCAGGGACATGATTTGAAGTTCTGGGACGTGGCGTGCGTCACCTTAAGTCCTCGACCCCCGAGGCCCAGGCATCGAGGGTGGCTTGTGGGGTTTAGGGTTTGGGGTTTGGGGTTCGGGTTTGGGGTTTAGGGTTTGGAGGTTTAGGTGTTGACGGCTTAGGGGTTTGAGGGGTTTAGAGGTTTAGGGTTTGGGGTTTGAGGGTTTAGAGGTTTTGGGTTTTTGGGTTTAGGGGCTTCGGGTTCAGATGTTTAGGGTGTACCTGGAGTAAGCTTTACGCCGTGAAAAGAAGGAAGCCTGCCTTGAACATGGACACTTTTGTAGGTACATGGTTGCTCTAGAGGGTTTAGGGTTCGGGGTTTAGGGTTTAGGGTTCAGGATTTAGGGCTTAGGGTTTAGGATTTAGGGTTCAGGGCTTAGGGGACTTCTAGGTAGAAATGAGAGGTTTAGTGTTTCAGGGCCTGGGCTCGGTTCTTCCAAAGTGGCTGTTGGTGCTGCTTCTTTGCTGAAGGCTTTTCAAGACGCCTACATGCCCAGGTAGGCCCTTGGGATACTGTATGTTTCTCCTGGGGTTAAGTAGGGTCAGGGTTTAGGGTTCAGGGTCCGGGTTTAGGGTTTAGGGTTTAGGGTTTAGGGTTTAGGGTTTAGGGTTTAGGGTTTAGGGTTTAGGGTTTAGGGTTTAGGGTTTAGGGCCCCCCAAGTTTCGCCAGGTCGCCCACGAGGCAGAGTTGAAGGAGCGCTATCGGCAGGACTCCGGGGCAGCTCCTGGGTTTAGGGTTTAGGGTTTAGGGTTTGGGGTTTGGGGTTTAGGGTTTAGGGTTTAGGGTTTACTTAGTCGCTGCGGGATATACCATGATTAAAAGGTTGACCTTTCTCGGGCCAGGGTACTCAGCAACTAGTTTTAGTTACGGTTGAGGGTGTTTATGGGGTTTATAGGTTGTTCTAGGATTTCTAGCACCTATAGGTTTTTTTTCGGTCTTTCAGGGCTTGTAGGATTTTTCCAGGGTCTATAGCGTTTATAGGGTTTATAGGGGTTTATGTTTAAGGGGTTTTCGGTTCTAGGGTCTTAGGCTTCGTGGTGCCCCCTGACAAGGTCCCGCCCCCGCAGCAAAGTAGGAAGCTACATCAGGGCAGCCAGGCCTCTGCTTGCCTTTCGAGTTCTCGAATTTTATCATGAAGGGGTGTTCCCCCTTTATACGAACAGTCCTTAACGGATTCTACTAGGGGATACTTATTCCCCATGACGGACTATTGGCACAAGGGGGAACATTCCAACATGAAGGGATGACGAGGCTCAGCTGCTAGAGATGCGTTAGATGTCGGGATGCCGTGATCTGGAGTCGAAGGCTTAGTATATAACCCAAGGTTACCAAGCTTCCCGAAGGCCTTAAGAACCCGATCAGCTTAGGGAGCAGACAGGCAGAGTTTGGTGGAGCAGCTGCCCGAAAAGCCGAGGTCATGATCAGAGCAGGTTTGTGCTTGTGCAAATGAATCAAGTAGCCTCTGGTGGGACGTTTCGATTGGCAACCCGACCCCAGCGAACCCACTTGCGGGTGTGACTTGGATGAACGACGTGAACTGCGCACCTTCCTGTGCTTTTGCACATAGGCCCGATTGACATCCTGAGAAAGCCTTGTCGCTTGCCTCCCAGACATGCTTATAATCGGCTGAATTGGAGAGGAGCTCGCGGATCTTCGCAGGAGAGGCCACACTCCGCGCTGACCCATCTCGGCCCAGTCTCACGGTGCTGATGAGTCTTTCGGCCCATTTCGTCCCTGGGACTGTAGCCCATTGCAGTTAACGAGCTGAATTCAAGCTCCGGAGGCGCGGCTTGCTGGGGTTCCATTCCCAGCCCAAGATACCTCAGTCAAGGCATACACCCTTAAATGACTTAGGGATCCTGGTTGTGGTGTGCGGTGTCTTTCTTAAGGGGTATTCGGGATTCTATATGGGCTGTTCACCAGATGCCTCTTAAGCCCAATGACTCCAGATTTGCAAGACTTGAGAGCAAACGCCATGCTTGGGGTTGCCGAAGCAGCTGAGAAAAAAAGTTTCTCTGAGCCCACTCTTGTGTGTTTAGCTTTAGGGGTTTGGGGTTTAGGACTACTGCTCGCTCGGTCTCTGCAACTTACCAACAAACTCGCCTGGGATGGGGAGGGATATGCAGTGCACCACCACGGCCCTGCTGTTGAAGTTTCGGCCCGGCGACTGATTGGGTTTTGGGTTTCAGGGTTTAGGGTTTAGGGTTGAGGGTGTGGACAGAGTGCCCCTTGCTCTTGTATGTGTCAAGTAAAGGAGGTGGTCACGCTCGACTGTGCGCAGAGTTGCTCCTTCTTGACTGGCTAGGAGGAAGGGGATGTGGCGACAGAACTGAACCCTTATGAGCATCTTGAGCGCTGTGCTCAGCGGCAAAGCAAGGTTGCACGTTGCACACCTTCTATAGTACGAATTGCTTAGTAAGCACCCAAAATAAACAAGATTCTTCCTGATAAAGGCAGTATAGGGATAGCTATGGTGACATGCTTTCGGGGTTCTTAAGCAAGTAGTCATTGTAGTCGTATAGTATCTTGCCGATGCCGCTTTTCCATGGCGGCAGCAAAGCGGCAGTATGCAGACATTGACGATGATGCTGCGTCTAGCCTGCAGTGGGGATGTCTTTGCCGCTGAACACAGCTTGTTGCTTGCTGCTGGAGACTCTAAGGGGAATGGTCATGGTCACTTCTCTCATGTCGTTCTCAGTCATGGTCCCTTTCCGGCGTCACTCTTTTTTAGGCTACCTTGGCATCCCCTTGTACGCATCCCCTTGTACTAACAGTCCTTCATGGGGATAATTTTGACGCAACGATCCGCCTCGTCTGAGCTTCTGTAAGATGGGTGGGGTGTGGGGGCGTGTGTGTTGGGGGGTTTGGTGGTGAGGTTGGGGGGGCAGGGGTGGGGGGGGGGGGGGTCGGGGGGTGGGGGTGAGGGGGGGGGGGGGGTGAGGGGGGGGGGGTCCCTTAGTACAAGGGGGACCAATCCCAAAGGCTACCCAAAAAAGGGACCGTCATTTTCAGAACTGACCACATTAAACCCTAAGCCCTAAACCCGAAACCCTAAACCCTAAACCCTAAACCCTACATTTACATGTATAACTGCCGATGTTGCTGCTCCTGTTTCAAGCAGTAAGCAGCTTCGATTCAGCAGAGCCCAAGCCTGCCTGCACACTAGAGTACCTGAAGCGGTTTAGGGTTTAGGGTTTAGGGTTTAGGGTTTAGGGTTTAGGGTTTAGGGTTTAGGGTTTGGGGTTTAGGGTTTAGGGCTTAGGGCTTAGGGTCCAGGGTGTCTCAGGTAGCCCCGACAAGTCCGCAGCCGACAACCTGACCGAGGCCAGCGCCCTCCCAGCAAAGCGTCGCGCTGGGACGCCTGTGCAAGCGGTGCTGCTGGACTTCGATGCCACGCTCACTGTGCGTGAGGAGACGCGCCCGTTCCCTAAACCCTAGACACCCCAAACCCTCTAGAACCCTAACCACCCCAAACCCCCACAACCTCGTGTCCGTGTCTAGATAGCTTCCGACTTAGGAGCACTTGTTGGGTTTAAGGTTTAGGGTTTAGGGCTCAGGGTTTAGGGTCCAGGGTTTAGGGTTCATGGTTTAGGAGATCCCAGCATGGCGGCTCTTCCCAGAGAAGGGAGGCTTCGATCGGAAGTTCGACGTTACGTGGCTCCGCGAGCGAGGTGGCATGAACTGGAGATGAGGGATGGTCCGACTTGCGGTTCACCCTTCTAGGGTTCAGGGTTTAGGGTTTAGGTTTGGGGTTCAGGGTTTAGGGTTTAGGGTTTAGGGTTTAGGTTTAGGGTTCAGGGTTTAGGGTTTAGGGTTTAGGGTTTAGGGTTTAGGGTTTAGGGTTTAGGTTTAGGGTTCAGGGTTTAGGGTTTAGGGTTTAGGGTTTGGTGTTTGGGGTTAGGAATTAACTGCCCTAAACCCCCTGAACTCTGCCATGAAGCAAACCCTATACCCTTCTGAGCCCTTCTAGCCCCTTAACCCGAAATCCCTGCCCTGAGCCCACTTCCTGCTGAACCCTTCACTCTAACCCCCAATCTTCTGAAGCCTTCTAAACCCTACCTTCCGAACCCTAATCCCTCGAAACAAGCCCCAAACCTGAAACCCCAAACCCTAAACCCTAAACGCCTTCTAAGCCCTAACACCCTAAGAGCCCTAGAGCCCTAAACCCTAAACCCTGAACCCTGAGTCCTAAACCCTGAACCCAATAAACTGCCCAGGCTTCGGGGGCGAAGATCGCATCCGTGGCTTGGAGCAGATGTTTGCCCGGCTCGGCAAAGCGGGAGCCGGCAACTGAGATGTTTGGGGTTTAGGGCTTGGGGTTTGGGGTTTAGGGTTTAGGAGTTTTGGGGTTTAGGGTTTAGGGTTTAGGGTTTGGGGTTTAGGGTTTAGGGTTCAGGGTTTGCGGGCTCCAGGGCTCAGGGCTTTAGGGTTTGAGCTGAGCCTTCGACCCTGGAGCCCGTCAGCCCCTGAAGCCCGACGGTAAAGTTCGAACCGCTCCTAAACCCTAAACCCTAAACCCTAAACCCTTAGGACCCAGAGTAGGCCCTTATTCTTTGTTTTTAGGGTCCAGGTTCCCCCTACCAGCCCCTTTAAACCAAAAAGGGGCACCCTTTTTTAAATTCTGGGTTACTCTTGCGTCTAGTCCCAAAATGAGGCCCCAAAAGCCCTGGATTCAGGTTCGCTGGGCCTTTGTTTGGGGAGGGAGGTGAGTAACTCGGTAGGCCCTTGGGACATTTCATATTCTCCCTTATTGGGTTTAAGAGGATCATGTGCAAGAACATTTTCAGAGGGTTATAAACCCTAAACCCTAAACCATATAAGAACCATCAAAGAACATTTTCATGAGGTTTTAAGGGCCATCCTAGGTAACGTGCGCAAAGCTCGACACCCGCAAGAAAAAATCAGAACAATTTCCCCCGACTTCTCATGCTGCCCTCACGACCCTTGCAAGTGTGGCCCTGCCCTTGCTGAAAGAATAGGTTTAGGGTTTAGGGTTTAGGGTTTAGGGTTAACCCCAGGCCCACTGGGTTTCGTGTTCAGAGTCTAAGGCTAATGGTTTGAGCTGTAACGTTTAGGGTACATAGGGTTTAAGGTTAAGGGTCCACCTCAAGCCCGAAATACCCTTAACTTAAGGGTATTAAGGTTTGAGGTTTCGGGTTTAGGGTTTTAGGGTTTAGGGTTTAGGGTTAGGGTTTAGGGTTTAGGGTTTAGGGTTTAGGGTTTAGGGTTTAGGGTTTTGAAGGTTAGGGAGGATCTGTGGAACCCTGCGCATCGGACCCGGCGAGGTCGAAGTTCACGTGGTTTCGTGGGCCGACCGCGCCTTGTTTCGAACTGCTTGAGAAGGGCCTCGGGCTTAGGTCTTATAGTCCCCATCAGTAAAGGGCTTTTTTAAGGGGTTACAGGGTCTGATGGTCCATCCTGGTAGGCTATGAGGTATACTTGGAGGTTCATAGTACTTATTCACAAATTTTTACTGTACTTATATCTGTACTTATAGCCATATTCGGGCACTCAATGGGGCTTATGAGGGGCTTATAAGTACAGTTATAATTGGTTAATAAGTACCATGAACCTCCAAGTAGCCCTACACCCGTACCATGAACCTCCAAGTATGGGCGAGGACCATTTGTAGGAGTGGCGAGGAGAGACTGGGAATCCTGGGGGCCATGAGCTGAGAACTCCACGTCCGCGAACCCTCAACCTTCAACCCTCAACCCAACCCTCAACCCTAGACAATAGACCCCAAACCCTAAACCCTAAACCCTAAACCTTAAACCTTAAACCCTAAACCATAAACCCTAAACCCTAAACCCTAAATCTAAAGCATGTGAGCTCGACCCTGAAGGGCAAAACTCCACAATCCCCCGCCAAACTCGCTGACGCAGCAGCTACTGATGAGTACTCGTAGGATTTAGGGTTTAGGGTTTAGGGTTTAGGGTTTAGGGTTTAGGGGTGAGTACTCGTATTCTTGTGGCACTCTTTCTGGGGGGGGGGGGGGCGCTTGTGTAAAGAGGGGTCTGAAGTGTACACATACTGTTTGGGTATTTCTGAGGAGTATGGCCCCCTCTGGGGGGAAAGACCTTGCGCCCAGCAACCCTAAACCCTAAACCCTAAACCCTAAACCCTAAACCCTAAACCCTAAACCCTAAACCCTGCATCATGGAGGCGATGTCATTGAGCGTGCCCTCTCCGTCCTGGGCCTGCGCAAGCTTTGCAAGAGAATCGCCGGCGTGCAGCAACTAGGCCTTCCGGCCCTAAACCCTAAACCCTAAACCCTAAAACCTAAACCCTAAACCCTAAACCCTACCCTAAACCCTAAACCCTAAACCCCCCTGTTCTATCAAACGGTGCGCTTGAGGGTCGTTCTGGCTACGCACCTCTAGCCAGGTGTGAAACTTGTGTTGGGGCACAGCCGCAACTTCGCAGGCGAGTACGCTGGCGGCAAAGGGGCATTCATCCAGAGCCTGGTCACGGAGAACAACTGGCGGCGAGACCAGGCACGGACCAGCACGATCGTGTGCCTGTACCTTTGCGGGTCTTGTAGAGCATGTCACGTTTGTAGTTGTGGTTGTGGCGGCGGCCAGGTCTTATTTGTTGACGACCAGCAGAAGAACGTCGACGCTGTTGCAGATGTGTGCAGGACGCACAAAACCAGGCACGATGACCATTCCTGCCTAGTTACGACAGAGCTTCTTCGGCGGTGTAGGGTTTAGGGTTTATATTTGTTCGGTTTAGGGTTTAGGGTTTGGGGTTTGGGGTTCAGGGTTTAGGGTGCATGTGGAGTTTGGTTTGCCTTCTTCTCGCTGCAGGGGTCGTGGCTTGACGACCGAAGAGATGGACATCATTGTCCAGAAGGTGCCAGCGCAGTGACGAAGTCACATCATACTGTGGCACGACTCGCGAAGTTATCCTAAACCCGAAACCCTAAACCCTAACCCTAAACCCTAAACCCTAAACCATAATCATAATCCTGAGGTCGCTGCCACAGCTGATGCCGACAAAGAGGAGGCAGAGTCAGAACAAAACAGAGCCAAGAGTGAAACGGAGTTTTAGCACCCTCCAAATCGGGATCGTGTGTATGGGATGTTCTCTACAAAATTGGAGTCCATGTCCGGGTCCCTTGTATAGTACGGCGCTTATAACAAGGACCCCCAACAGGGGACCCTGATTCGGAAAACTGCCCATCTGCAGAATCAGAAGAATGGGAACGCAGCCATCACGTAAGATCTGTCAGAGACCATGAGGGGCTGACAGGTCTTTTAGCATAGTAGCAAAGTAGCATAGTAGCATAGTAGCATAGTAGCATAGTAGCATGGTAGCATGGTAGCATAGTAGCATAGTAACACAGCATAGTAGCACAGTAGCACAGTAGCATAGCAGCATAGCAGCATAGCAGCATAGCAGCACAGCAGCATGCCGTCGTAGCATAGTAGCATAGTAGCATAGTAGCATCGTAGCAGGGTAGTAGTGGTAGCAGAGTAGCATAGTAGCATAGCAGTCGCAGTAGCAGGTGCAGAGCAGTAGCAGTCGCAGTAGCAGGTGCAGTAGCGGTAGCAGTAGCAGTAGCAGTAGCAGTAGCAGTAGCAGTAGTAGTAGTAGTCGTAGTAGTAGTAGTAGTAGTAGTAGTAGTAGTAGTAGTAGTAGTAGTAGTAGTAGTAGTAGTAGTAGTAGAAGTAGAAGTAGAAGTAGAAGTAGAAGTAGAAGTAGAAGTAGAAGTAGAAGTAGAAGTAGAAGTAGTAGGAGCAGTCAGTAGTAGCATACTGCAAGATTCCCAGAGTTGGGGCTGAGGGTTTAAGGGGTTTAGGGTTTAAGGGTGTCTCTGTGAGCGTGCACGCGGGTGATGCATGAAGTCCTTTCCCAACGATTAGCCCCTCAATCGTAGCCTCAAAGACACTCACAGCTACTTATTAATTGCAGTGTAGTCGCAGCCATAGGCTCTTTGCTTGGAAATGAGGAAAAACCTACTACTAAAATGAATATACATACACAATTTTATATGCATAAGTACGTTTTTAGGGTTTACGTTTTTACTCTTATAGTACTTTTTGATAGTATTGTTGTGTCAAGTGATGCAACCGATCCGGGGAACATTGCGGATTCTATTTATCTTCTCAAAAGTAAACCAAACTAGCTTCACAAGCTCATGTGCTCGCCAGAAGTAAACCCTTACAGTGTAGGTGAAGACCCTCTTTGTTAGCTCGTGCAAGCGTGGAACTCTCCGGTGCCCCTGGCCGTCCAGTGGGGTCCGTGCGCACACGCCACCGCATTGCCTAATGTCCTTCCTGCAGTTGTTTCTGTGTTTGTTATAGACCAAGGCAGCGTGACTTCTGAAATCGCAATGCCAGGTTTGAATTAGTCACAATACTAGTAGTAATAGTAATAATAGGAACAATAGCAATAGTAATATGAGTAGCAATAATAGTAGGAATACTAATCACAATCATCGTAACCGTACTAACGAACTAATCAACTACCAAAAAACCTTGTCCCAGCTCCATGTCGCCACAAATCTGTGCCCAATTAGGTGCTTCAGATGTCAGTGACTGGTATTGCAGTGCCCTATTGTATCGTATTCCTGTCCTGAACTGTCGTCCTAAACCCTCAACCCTAAACCCTCAACCCTCAACCGCAGCATTGAGCCTCCATTTGTTTGCCCACTTCTTCTACATGTGGTCCGCAGCGGCGTTGCTGAGCTTTGACTGAAACTGAGGTACCCTAAAGGGATTCCCCGCTGTTTAGGGTTTAGGGGTTTAGGGTTTAGGGGTTTAGGGGTTTGGGGACGCAAAAACAACAACACTCAACAAAACCAACAAAGGCAAATCAAGGATCGCGTGGGGGTGGTGATAAATGCGATGTTCGGTTCTGCCAGTGTGGTTGGCTTTAGCACTTTGCTGTGCTTTGTTGAAGGCGAGCACCGCTCTTCAATATCTTTAGCTACCAAAGGCACCCTAAACCCTTTAGCAACCCTATAGTAACCCATTCTGGATCCCCAACCCCATCAATGTCTCTGGAACGCCATCAGCTTTAGGCCATGGAAGTTTCCTGTTGCTTCCCATCTTGCAATATAATAATATAGTAGTATACTACTATAGTATACTATACCAGTATAGTACAATTACTGTAGTAGTTTACTATCATGGTATTCTTGACTTTGTTGGCGTTTGGTGTAATCCTCGAGACGAGTAAGGGCCGTGCTGGGATGCATCGTTCACGTGGATGGCAGCCGCCATGAGAATTTCGACTTGGATATTGAATCTCGGATGCGGTAATGTGCTTGCCGGATTGTTGGAGGCAGTTCGGAATGCTGACCTGAGAACTGGGCGTGTGTTGACTACGAGGATGCTTTATCAGTGTAATGAGGATCCGGCCGACCTGTAGCAATCACTTAACAATTGCATTGTGTGTAGTCTGCTATAGTATATTGTAACAACTACCATCGCATACTATGGCATACTCTCGACTATAGTACACTATTTTTGTTTCTTGTTCTATGAAGTTCAGTGCGCTGTAAGGCTCGCCAAGGGCACATGGCAGAATCGGATACGTCATTGTTGTCTCCGCTGTGGCCGGGTCAGCTGCTGCACCACATCAATGCTCATCCAGCATACCTGACGGTGATGGAAGCTGCCCTCATGGCAATATGCATGTATGCACTCATATCCTTTTGCATCACGACTTGGGCCTCTAATTTTGCGAGGTGCCTGCCGCATCCGTTTTCAAGCCTCATGGATCAACCACTGCCTCCTCAACGCACCTGGTTGGGCAGTTGGTGGGGCTGGTGGTACTCCTGCATGGCCGAATTCTGCACGTGGCTGGTATGGCTAGTATGTCGGAAAGATGCAAGTACCACAAATGGTACGGAGCGGGACCAGCCCAGCAAGCCCAGCGTGAATGACAATCTAACAAGGGCTTTCCCGGGCTTGGACGAAGCCGAGCGGCAATACATTCGTGGGATTTTTGACAAAGTGAATGGGCTGAAGAAGCAAGGAATCAAGGAGCAAAAAATAAGCGCAGCATGGAGGTTTCTGGATGCGTCTTCTATGGCTTTGACCCCAGTCCTGATTAGTATCATGCCTAGCTTGAAAGGTGACAAATATGAAGAGTCAGTCCAGATTTTGGCAATCTGCCTTTCTCTTATCAGCACCATTTGCCATGTGCTGCCACTGGGCCGCGGTGAGACCATGTTGTGGTACGCAAGTCGTCTGCAAAAGATCTGCTGGAATTACTGGCGACAGACCGGGGAATTCGGACTCCAGCAGCCTAAACAACCAGAAGATGGCAAAGGGGACGACACAGCAGCTCCAGGGCCGACGAAGAGCAATCTAGAGACAAGGCGCAAAGACAGCTTTGCGACTTTTGTTTGGAGGGTGACGGAGATCATGGAGGAAGGCAGGGACAGGGGTCAGCTGATCTGAAAGTGCTTGTATAGGCATGGCCGGCGTCCATCTAGATCTAGTGCAGCTCTTGTTCACGTTCCACCCACCGCGCAGAAACGCCGATGTGGTTACAAGAGTAACTGTATTACTGTTTGCCAGGAGAAGAGGCCATCGTCAGCAAGTTCTCCGTGGAGAATGCAAAGCCAGCCGAGGTTCAACGTGAAAAAGCTGACAATTCCGCAGATATGATGCTTGAACCGAAGATCTAGGCAGATGACTTGCGCGCTCCGTCTTGGCAAAACTGATGCGTTGATTGGCTGCGCTCTTTTTAACAGACCGTTCAGTCCTCTCGGATGACTAATTACAGACTACAAACAAGTCGCGGGCAGCAGGCTCTCAGGCCATTACGTTATATATACTACCGTATGCTACTCTACTACTCTGCTCCCTCACGGGGGTGTCGAAGAACAATTCTGCGTATCCCAAACCCCACACTAGTTCAGGCAGGGTACCTAAACCCTAAACCCTAAACCCCAAACCCCAAACCCTAAACTCTAAGCCCTAAACCCTAAACCCTAAACCCCAACCTTTTCCGATGCCCAAAGCTGGAAGGAAAGAAGGACACCAAGAAGGCCCCCAAGATCGACACCCATATGGTGGTATACGATATGAGGGGTACCTTATTGGGGTTTAGGGTTTAGGGTTTAGGGCTAGGTTTTTTTAATTTTTTTGCGGGGGGGTTTACGATATTAGGGGTACCTTCTTGGGGCCGTTATTATAGCGGATCCTACTATTCGGGGTTTATATTAGAGGCACCCTGATTATCGTACACCCCCGTCTTGAAAGATCTGCCGCTGTGGCCCGACGATTTTGGCATCAGCTGTTGCTAGGTGGATTCCCCTTAGCGCAAGGGAAGCATGACTGACGTGACCGACGGGAAACCCTACATGCGACCGAATCATATGGAAACCACACAAACCACAAACACAGCCTACGCAAAACACTAAACCCTAAACCCTAAACCCTAAACCCTAAACCCTAAACCCCCGAGCCCCGAGACTCGCTCCTGCGCCTGCCCCCATGCTTGGGCCCAGAGGAGGGCGAAGCCATGGAAAGGCCTTCAAAGGGCTTTAGGTTTTTTTTTTGTTTTTCCTTTTCCTTTTTTTTGTGTTAACAGTTTTTTGGTTTTTGACATTTTTGTTGACCCTGTTTTCGGCTTTTCGGCTTTCGGGATTTTAGGGCTTCAGGGTTTAAGGTTTTTGGGGTTTGGGGGTTTTAGGGCTTTAGGCATGTTTGGGTTGGTTTTGTGATTCTGGGGCATTAGGGTTGTCAGGTGTAGGTTTTTTTTTTTTTGTCTGGGGCTTTTTGGGATTTTGGGTTGTAGATTTTTAGGTTTAGGGTGTTTAGGGTGTTTAGGGCGTTTAGGGTGTTTAGGGTGTTTAGGGTGTTTAGGGTGTTTAGGGTGGGCCCTCAAGAGAGGACGTACTGCTGTGGGAGGTAGGTCTGAAGGTACTTCACAGCAGCGGAGTCTGGGACCCAGAGTAGGCCCTTATTCCCTTCTCGGGAGGTTTACTACAATTTGCTTAAGAACCCCCCCCCCCTAAAAAAAAAAAAAAAAAAAAAAAAGTAGATGATAATCCCTATCTTGCCCTAATTAGGAAACATGTCCTTCATATTTCGGGGGGTTTGTCAAGCAGTTGCCGGTAGTATAGCTTAGGTTCCCTTAGAAGCCCCGGTAAACCGAAGAAAGCTCACCCTTCTTTATTCCTAGGTTACCTCAAGCGAAGTGGTTGCTGCTTGAGTGACGGGCCTCGTGAGCCTCCCCCGTTAGTGGAGATCCTTCCTCCCAGGCCCCCTAGACCCTGAACCCTGAACCCTAAACCCTAAACCCTAAACTCTAAACTCTAAACCTTAACCGTACAATGCAGGTGGCCGAGCTGACTCCATGTCGGCTGTCCTCTCGTTGCTCCTTTGTGGCCACGTGCTCAGCATCTCTAGTACCTTGGACAGTCCACCCTAAACCCCTAATCCCTAGCCCCTAACCCCAAAACCCCGAACCCCAAACCCCAACCCTAAACCCGAAACCCGAAACCCTAAACCCGAAACCCGACACCCGAAACCCGAAACCAAAGCGAGGATGCAGAGAAGGAGACCTGTGCAAAGCCGTGGGGCTCCCAGCGTTGCTGTGTTCTTGGCTTCCCACGCGCCTCGTGCATCTACAGCCCACCCTTCAAGCCGGGAACTCTACAAACCTCTACAAACCCTGCAAACCCTATAAACCCTAGAAACTCTAAAATTAAACCCTACTTATGCCACAAACCCTATAACCCTAGAAACCCTTAGCCCTCAGACCCTAAAGCCCTAAACCTAAAGCGACCGCAAACCATATAAAGCCTATCAGCCCTACAAACTCGGCATGCCACGTGAACCACCCTAAGCCCCTAAACCCCCAAACCCCCTAACCCCCTAAGCCCCTAACCCCCTAAACCCCAAAACCCCCTAAACCCCTAAACCCCCCGGTAAGTCGAGGACTGCAAGTCCGGAGGCGCGCCTGAGAAGATCCAGGTCGCCAGCGCGCCAGTGCCTCAGAGTTGCCTAAACAGGGTTTAGGGGGTTTTGGGTTTAGGGTTTAGGGTTTGGGGTCAGAAGCCCTACTTGTGGGGTTCTTAGTGGGAAACTATAGTCATAAGTGCTTCTTGACCAAAACCCAACAGCCAAACAAAAGATCAGGTTCCGGGCTCCGGAATGGCAAACGACCCCTTGCCTAAACAGGGTTTAGGGTTTGGGGTTTGGGGTTTGGGGTTTGGGGTTTGGGGTTTGGGGTTTGGGGTCAGAAGCCCTACTTGGAGGTTCATGGGTAAGTTATAACTGGGGCTCTTAGCGGGATAACTTTAGTCACAAGTCTTTAAGTGGCTCATGACCGAAACCCCACAGCCAGCAAGACCCTAAACCCTAAACCCTAAACCCTAAACCCTAAACCCTAAACCCTAAACCCTAAACCCTAAACCCTAAACCCTAAACCCTAAACCCTAAACCCTAAACCCTAAACCCTAAACTAAGTGAGGGGTCGCTTCCGTCGAGCGACAGACCCCGAACGCTCGGCCGAGGGCCTTACAGCTCGAGCGCCCAAGCGAAAAGAGAAACGGAAAGGTGAGGGTTAAGCCTCACCGTCTGTCCTGGGGCCAACGGACATCGGCCTTTTTTACGACAACGTCAGTACTCGGCTAAGGGATGGCCGGCACCCAGACCACCTTGTCCCTTTGCGGTTCAGGGTTTGGGCCGGGCGCCCCCCGGGGGCCCCCGGCCCCTGGTAGCTGGATTCCTGGACCAGGAGGCTGGCGAGGGGTCCAAGGCAGGCTTGCTCAATTTCGTGACGACGGGTTTTTGGATTTTGGGCCCCCCAGCCAAGGGCCAAGGGGTTCCCGGGCCAAGGGCCCCCCGGCCAAGGGCCCCCGGACCCCCTTGGCTCCCCAGACCAAGGGCCCCGGTTTTAGGCACCCCTGCCCGCAATGAAAAATGTTCTTTTTTAGTACTGAAATCGATGATTCCCCCGAAATCAGCAAGGACCTCTACGGGCCCTGACGTGCCGAAGGTCCGAAAAGGACCGAGGCTACCCCGAACCCCAGCCTAAACCCTAACACCGCAAAACCCTACGACGGCCTTCAAGCAAATAAGGGCCTCTACGGGCCCTAACGTGCCGAAGGCCCGAAAGGGGCCGAGGCTACCCCGAACCCCAGCTTAAACCCTAACACCGCAAAACCCTGCGAAGGCCTTCAAGCAAATAAGGGCCTCTACGGGCCCTAACTTGCTGAAGGCCCGAAAAGGGCCGAGGCTACCCCGAACCCGAGCTTAAACCCTAGCGATTGAAATACTCATTGGCGAAAAACTCATTAATAGGTTCCCTGACCTTTGAATGAATAAAGCCTCTACGGCCCCTGACACGCCGAAGGTCCGAACAAGGCCCCGAGAGACCCCGAGAGCCACCAAAATGCTTCAAAAGGCTTCAAAAGGCCCCCTAAAAGAAGGGGGACCCCAGGATGCCCGTACCCGCAATGAAAAATGCGATTTTTTGGTAGTGAAATCGATGCTTAATTGAGGCCCTTAAAGAAGGGGAATCCAGGAGCAGACACAAAGGGTTTCCCTGACCTTCAAATAAATAAGGGCCTCTACGGGCCCTGACACGCCGAAGGCCCGAAAAGGGCCGAGGCTACCCCCAACCCTAGCTTAAACCCTAACAGCGCAACTTTAAAAACATCAAAGCAAGCATCAGAGCACAAGAAAGTATATTCCATAAACCCTAAACCCTAATAGAGTGTAGTTTGGGTGGCCGGGGTGGGTTGACGGGCAACGCGAGCGCGCGGCCCGGGGTGTTTCACACCCGAGCGCGCGCCCTCCCCTGACACACCCTAAACCCTAAACCCTAAACCCTAAACCCTCAACCCTCAACCCTCAACCCTCAACCCTCAACCCTCAACCCTCAACCCTAAACCCTAAACCCTAAACCCTAAACCCTAAACCCTAAACCCTAAACCCTAAACCCTAAACCCTGATCAAGTTTCGGGCTCCGGAATGGCAAACGGCCCCCCCCCCCGCCTCTAGGCATAGAAACCCAAACCTTCGTCCGATGGGAAGAGCCTTATTCAGGGTTTAGGGTTTAGGGTTTAGGGTTTGGGGTTTAGGGTTTAGGGTTTAGGGTTTGGGGTTTAGGGTTTAGGGTTTTAGGGAGGGATGGGCCATGGGATAGGAGTCTCTTGAAAGGGGACCCGTTGCTAGAACGGGAACCTACCTTTTACCTTTTACTTCTTACTGTTTTCCTTTTTCCTTTACCTTTTACCTTTTACTCTAAACCCTATCTAAACCCTAAACCTTTTGCATCCGAGGACCAAGTCAACCCGATCTGCAAGCACTGTGCCGTCAGACCGTGCCGCTCAGAACTCTCAGTAGAGTACTGCTAAGACATGGCAGTTTTCATCATGACAAGATAGCAATCACTATTATATGGTTGTAGTAGCAACATTCGCAGTACGAAAAACCTTGTACTGATACTTAGACGAATACTTACTAACACCATTACTAGTACGAATACGCACAATAATCACAGCAACACTAGTAAGCATGATTTTATAAGTCCCTAGCAATGTGTTGCAAGTCTTCTTGCCATCGGTGACTTGCTGAAAACGACTGAGCTGGAAGGTACTACATCCGGCACATCTCAGGCAGCGCTTGCCCGGGTTTAGGGTTTAGGGTTTAGGGTTTAGGGTTTAGGGTTTAGGGTTTAGGGTTTAGGGTGGCAAACTCAAGCCACAATGCCTACCAACTTGTCATGTCTAGAGCACACGGAAGTTGGCCTCAGCTCACCAGGATGGGCTGTTAGACCCTCTAACCCCCCTTAAAAAAGGCCCTTTATTCCCATAAATTATGGGTTTAGGGTTTAGGGTTTAGGGTTTATGGGGGGTTGATTATGGGGACTATAGCCCATCCTGGCAACGCTGGCCATGCCAGGTAGCTGAGCTCGATGAGATCGACCAGCGAGTGCAGACTTCTCAGAGCTGCGATGTTCGCCTTGAGGGCTGCTCCAAAACCCCTACTTGAAGGTTCATGGGTAAAAAAGAAGCAGGGCTATAAGTACCCCAAATATGGTTATAGCCAATTCGAGTTACCTTATTTGTAACCTTAATTGTAACTGCCCATGAACCTCCAAGTACAAAGGCCTTGCGATGTGAGGGTTTCGGGTTTAGGGTTTAGGGTTTAGGGTTTGGGGTTTGGGGTTTAGGGTTTAGTGAGGTCAGACCTCATCCACAAGCTCCGCAAGGACGAGGCCGCGCCGCTGGACCGATTCCCAGAGATGGGGCCAGGCAACTACACTACCAGCTGGCAACCCCCAGGTTCCGAACAGAGAAGCTAGGTATGCGGAAAAATCATATGTATGTATATATCTATATATGTAAGGATCATAGTAATAATATGTTCTATTAATAATAACAATAATCATAAGAAGAAGAAGAAGAACAATAATATGTAGAGAGAGAGAAAACACTTCCATCTCTGTACTTGTATGTGTATATATATATACATATGTATATTATGTGGCATATTCGTTTGGGCTTGTCATTTGTGCACTTAACTTTTCCCTATATGCAGTTGCAGGCACTTGTGGTGGTAGAGCCTGAGGTCGTGCGCCATGTCAAAGACAACATGTACAAGGTGGATGGTCGCCGGGTGAGGCCTCACCCGCGCCTCTCCCCATTTCGGCACAGGGCAGGGATCGTTGGCATGGGCCATAGAGGGTTGTCTGAGCTTGTAGTCATGGTTTAGGGTTTAGGGGTGGAGGGTTTAGGGCTTAGGGTTTAGGGTTTGGGGTTTTGGGTTTAGGGTTTAGGGTTTAGGGTGAGTGTTCATGGTGCAGGGTTCAGGGGTTTACACGATTCCGCCTCGGCTTGCAAAGGGTCGTGCTTGGCTGGCCGAGATCTGTTGCATAGCCAAGGCTCCTCATCCACCCCAGGGTTTAGGGTCCAGGGTTTAGGTTTAGGGTTTAGGGCGTGGTGTCTTCAGGAAGACAGGATTATCCCCAATCCGGCCGAACTAATTTGGGGGCCTGGATAAATAGAGTAGGGTTTGTGGGGTTTGTAATATCTATATAAAGGGACCGACCATGAGGGAATCCTATCAGCAATGATTCCGGCCCCCAAATTTCATCGCAGCAGCAAGAGCTGCCAATCTTAGGATCGCCGTCCTCTAGAGTCCCTTGCTACTTAAGCAGTCTTTGCAGATTTCTGTACTTCTTCTTAGGCTGAGTAGGTAACCTTTAACGTTTTGGGGTAAATATTTAATCCTACCAGAATTGCAAGGTTCAGCTTTTTTGGGCCTGGGTACTCAGCAACTAGGTCTTTTCTTTCCGAACATGCACTTAGTTTCATTCCGTACCCCCCTGAACCTTCACAAGCCCCTGGTGCCCTCCAAACCCAAAATACAGGTGTCGGAATAATTACTAACAGTATTTCCTTAGGGTCCCTTTGGAATTATACGAAATTGACCCCCAAAACCGTATTCTAATTACTGTATTCAGGCCCCTATATATATATATATATACATATATATATATATAGCACTGAAACCCTGAAACCCTAAGCCTCAACAAGGAGGATGAAGCGCGTTCTGAATCACTGGCTGATTCTTAGTAGGGAATGAGGGAATGAGGTACCCCATGTAATCCCTTAAAGGGTATATATATATATAGAGTATATATAGATATACCCTAATTCCCTCATTCCCTTCTAAGAACCGGGGGAAGAAGTCAAAAACAATCCTGTGCTTTCCCCTGTGCGGCGCCTCCTGCAGGTTGTCTCTGTCGAACGGCTCGGACGCCTGCATAATGGTTCAAGAGGAGCTCCGGCGCAATATAGGGGCCTTAGAAGGTAGAATACGGTTTTGGGGTCCTTGTAGTAAAAGTATATGTAGGGACCAGAAGGGAAAGACCATTGGGACGTATTCCGACCAACGCTGGTTGCCTGATTCAGCTCTGTGGTCCGGAGACTCGAGTTCTTGAACACCACCTTACCTGTACACAGGCAGAAAGGGACCCCTAAGAAAGCTGATCTCCGCCATTTGCCCGATTTCTGCCCACATCTATCGAGTCTTTCGATGGCCTGCAGGACTCTGATGCAAAGCTCCCGCTTGTACCTCTGGAGACTTACCTCCAGCAGGCCTAATTGGAATGTAGAGGTGTGGGCTTAGGGTTTGGGGTTTGGGGTTTAGGGTAGAAGGTTTAGGGTAGAGGGTTTAGGGTTTAGGGATATTCGGGATTGGGGTTTAGGGTTTAAGGAAGACTAGAAGTACAGCACAAGCAGGCATGTGATTGCTGCCCCTGGCATGCTTAGAATGACAGCTCCAGCCGACTGTTGCTCTTTTTGGCTCGGCCACAGGCAATGTCTGTAGTCTGCATGCAAGCAGCACAAGCAGAAACAGGTAGGGTTTAGGGTCTAGGGTTTCGGGTTTAGGGTTTAGGGTCTTTTGCTTCATCACGACGTGTTTGGACGGACACCCTCCCCCAAACGAGGGAAAAAGGTCTTTTTTCAACGGTACCACTACTGTCCACTGGAAGTGCCGTATCAACTGATTCATCTGACTCGGTACCCGTCCTCAAACCCGAACCCTTGGACACCCGACCGGTGAAAGCCCATGTTACCCCCTTATGGTTATAAGATCGGCGGATATCAGTCACCTAATTCCCTCAACCCTAAACCCTAAACCCTAAACCCTAAACCCAATTAGTAAAGCGTACAGGGCTGAAAACCGCAGTTGGCACGCCGCACGCCGCGCCGCGGCTCGAAAGGCTCGCTGGGGAGCTCGCGTGCGTGTGGTCTAGGCCTTTCGCGGCATTTTACGTATCCTGCTCGAGACAATATGTATATATATATATATATATTTCTACATACATACATACATATACATATATATATATATTTTTGTGTATGTATTTGTTTGTTTGTTTGTTTGTTGATTTCTCTATGTTTTTTTTACATATACTTCTTGTGACGTGGCCACGTGCACCTGACACCTTTCACATTTGACGCTGCGCTCCGCGCGTTCGGGGTGCGCGTCAGAGCCGAAAGATTCTCCGGAGGAGTAACGTGAACACGAACGCTAAATCGAAAGTTTAGGGCTTAGGGTTTGGGGTTTGGGGTTTAGGGTTTAGGGTTCCTATACCCAGAGGGCTCCTATGTAGTAGCTTTCTGGGGTAGTTTACCAGAGAATCCCCTATAGCTAATCCCAAAAGGGACTACATTGGAGCCTGCAGGTAAACCTCGGGTTTAGGGTTTAGGGTTTAGGGTTTAGGGTTTAGGGTTTAGGGTTTAGGGTTTAGGGTTTAGGGTAAACCCTATAACGTCCTCGTCCCGACGTCGGGGAGGCTGATGGCGGGCAGCGATCGACGATGTCGCTTGGTGCGTCTCACCAACTACAGCCAGGCTGGGTCCCCAGCTGAGAAGAGCCCCCGGGTTTAGGGTTTAGGGTTTCGGGTTTAGGGTTTAGGGTTTAGGGCATCGGGTTTCGGGTTTAGGGTTTAGGGTTTAGGGGCCCCTTGGTTACTGTTGGTTGGTAGGGAATGAGGGAATCAGGTGCCCTATATCATCCCTTAAAGGGTATATATATATATATATGGGGATATAGGGTACCTCGTTCCCTCAATCCCTAGTAGCCAACAGTAAGCAAGCGGGCTTGATGAGGGGCTTGTAGTGTGCTCTGAGGAGGTTTGTGGGTCATACGAAATCTACCTGCCTACTTCCACCATGTCCCATCTCCAATTACCCGAAAAAAACCCTGAACCCCTAAACCCTTAATACACCAAACTCTAAACCCTTAAACATCCCTAAGCCCTACGTCCAGCTTAACCTCAAGGCAGAAATCCCTGAACCCTAAACTGCCCAATGCCCTAAACCCTAAACCCTAAACCTCAAACTGGAAGAGCAGAAACCCCTAAACCCTTAAACTACCAAATGCCCTAAACCCTGAACCCTAAACCCTAAACCTCAAGCTGGTATAGCAGAAACCCCTAAACCCTACAAACAAAAAAAACCAAACCCCGAAACACTAAACCCTAAACCCTAAACCCTAAACTTCAAGCTGGTATAGCAGAAACCCCTAAACCCTGAAAAAGACCAAATGCCCTTAACCCTAAACCCTAAACCTCAAGCTGGTGTAGCAGAAACCCCTAAACCTTCAGAAGTACCAAAAACCCAAAACCCTAAACCCTAAACCGTAAGCTGGTATAGCAGAAGTCACGAAGTCACCACTGCGGCATGTAGCCTGCAGGCTGGTTGGCCCTTCCGCCGGCCGGAGAAGGAGCACTTTGAGGTGCTCCCTAAACCCTAAACCCTCAACCCGAAACCCTAAACCCCAAACTGCTAAACTCTAAACTCCTAAACCCCGAAACTCCTAAACCCCTAAACCCCTAAGCCCCTAAACCCCGAAACCCCTAAACAGTTTAAATGAGGTCTGCAGTGAACACAGAAGCGAAAGCCATTGGAAGTCTGCTTGAAGGTTCACGGGTAGTTGTTAGTAGGCCCTAAACGTAGGGACTGGGTAGGTAACCTTTAACCTTTTTGTTGACTATATAGAATCCTACAATATATAGATGGTTAACCCTTTTTGGGCTAGGGTATTCAGCCCCTAAGCAAATACTAGGACCGGGAGTAGGCCCGTTTATTCCTTTTTTAGGGTTGGGGTTCCCTTATAATCCCCTTAAAACCAAAAAGGGCACCCTTTTTATTCCTAGGTTACTCCCGGGCCTAGAAGAAGGCTATGACAGCTTTGAACTAGAGTTACTCCCACTTGTAGCACCAGTTATACCTACTATCGGGGTCGGAATCACCCTATATAAGCATGCTGTAAGAACCCCCCCGCCCCCCCCCCCCCCCCCCCCCACCCCCACCCTATTCTAATTCTTTAGGCCCGTATGTTCCCATGTCATGAACCTCCAAGTGGCATCATCATGCACTCTGGAGCTCCAGGGCTTCTGACCCTAAACCCTGAACCCTAAACCCTAAATCCCAAACCCTAAACCACCCTAAACCCGAAACCCTAAAACCCTAAACCCTAAACCCTACAGCTCATAAGACCCTTTGAGAGGTCATCAAGTCGGCATGCCGGATCTGTCACAGTCTAGAGGACGGCGGGCTCTCTGCTTCCTCTTGCTTGCGTCGCGTCTTCGTAGAATGACGGGTTTAGGGTCTAGGGTTTAGGGGTTCGGGTTTAGGGTATAGGGTTTTAGGGTTTAGGATGTGTTGGAATACGCTGACAGGGCAGAGACCATTGGTCATCGCAGGCGTCTTTGCAGTTCGAGATTCTTCGCAGTTTTGTTTAATTTGTTATTTTCATGTCCACTGTTTCACTGTGAGAATCCGGTAATCTTTGGCTCAAGAGCAAGAAAAGTGAGGGCGTTGCAAACATGCGTTTTTGTTCAGATGACTCGTATCTCCCTATTATTAAACGGCCCACGCCCCCCTTCCAACAGAACCTCGAAATGTGTTTTTTCTAGGGGGGATGTGTTAATCCTAATGTCATGCTTGGGTCCAAAGGGTTTAGGGTTTGGGTTTCAGGGTTTGGAGGATTTAAGTAATGACCTAAACCCCGAGAGCGTTCTCCACTCAGGCAGCAGAGTATGTAGAGACATGGTGTTGTTTCCTTCGTAAGGGCACAATTTAAGCAGCGCCAGGGCGAACGGACCCTTGGACCAGTGTTCATCTTGCTGTATGAGCGCTACCAAAGACGACGACCATGGCGGTGACAACGGCGACGGGGTCTGGCTTTTCATTCATGGTGCCAGCGGGGAGCCGGTGGTTGAGCGCTTGGAGATGCACGGAGGTGACGATATTTCGGTGATCCGAGAAGCCGTAGCTTCAGAATTGAAGCTGTCTGACGATAGGTACGTATGCCTGCAGGCTGACTTGAGAGAGCTGAAAGACGGATCAACGGTGGCTTCTTGTGGCCTTGCCAGTGGGCAGAGCTTGTTGGCTTTGGTGCTTCGAAAAGAGTGGTGGCCGCGAAAGCTTCTTTCTTACGACTCCAGTGATCGGAGATACACCAATTCTATGCACGCGTCGCGGAACCCCTGGGAAACGCCGACGCGGAGCCCCTGGGAAATGCTGCAGGAGGGTACGGAGACCTTTTGGTGCACCTTCCCCACGGACGGACCCTCCTTCTGCGTTTTCCGCGTGGATCAGCCCGTGCAATTCGATGGCCTTCGCTTGCGTGCTGAAGAGTATCGGAATTATGGGCACTTGGCACGGTCACTGCGCATTGAAGTTTCAAGAGATCTGGATGGTCCGTGGGAGCTTGTAGGTGAGTTCCATACAGAACAGCGAGGTGACTGGCAGCATTTCTCTTTTGAAGCAGCACCTGGCGAGCCAACGCTGCCGACATTTTGGCGCTTGAGCAAAGGCCCAGCGCATGACAATGGCTACTGCGAGATTGCTGAGATCGACTTCCATTGCGCCTAGGCAGCTGCCTCGCTGCTTTTGTCTCAGATGCGTGCACTCGGAGTGAGTGGGGACAGAGTTAGAAACCCGAAACCGTATACAGCCGAGCCCTACCTCAAACCCTAAATGCGTTGTAGAGCAGGGCGGCTAGTGTTCGCTTGCGCAAGCTGTTGAAGCAACGCCCGTAAGGACTGGTCCGGATTGAAAACCGGTGACATGTATCGTGTGTAGTTTCCTTGGTGTATACCCGAAGTCCCATGGTTCCAAATTTGAACAACCACAGGGTGCAGGGCGGATCATGCCAGCTCTGAGTTAAGACTAGGACAAGACCAAGAGCACAAGCCCCCCCCCCCCCCCCGCACGTCGACTCTCGAATTCTGCGACCATCCTCTCAAACCATGCTCCCAAGACCTCGAAACCCAAGATCTAAAACCCAACTACTCCAAAACCCCCTGCCACCCCTCCCCCCGAGCCCTGAACCCCGGGCCCTAAATCCTAAACCCTAAAAAACCCCTAAAGCCTACACCCTAAACCCTTCAAAACTCTGCTTGAGGATAGCCGTGACGACCCGCTGGTGGCCCCTTGCCGATGTGATGGCTCCCTGAGATACGTACACAACGCCTGCCAGCAGGCAGGGGAGAGCCCGGGCGCTGTAAGTAGGCCCTTGGGTATGTGAGGTGTGGGGTTTAGGGTTTAGGGTTTAGGGTTTAGGGTTTAGGGTTTAGGGT